ATTTATTGTAGAGATGAGGTCTCGCTGCCCAGGTGGGTCTCGAACCCACAGGCTCAGGCAATCCACTCACCTCGGCCTCCCAAAGCGTGGGATTACAGGCTGAGCCCCCGAGCCCGGCCCCTTTTTCTTTTTTCCATCATCATCTTAGTCTTCTCATTGTTTCTTCTTCATCGACCTCCTCTTCCTCTGCCTTCTCCTCCTCCTCTTTATTCTTTTTCCTTCATCCTCCTTGTCTTTTTTTTTTTATAAGTCGAAGTCTCACTCTGTCACCAGGCTGGCTGGAGGGCAAGGGCAGATGCATGGCCACCGCAGCCTGGACCTGCAGGGCTCAGGAGATCCTTCTGCTAAGCCTTCCAAGTAGCTGGAACTACAGGCACGCGCCACCACGCCCGGCTAATTTTTTTTTTTTTGGTAGAGAAGAGGTCTGGCCAAGTTGCTCAGGCTGGTCATGAACCCCTGGACTCAGGCAATCCTCTCGCCGCAGCCTCCCAATGTGCTGGGTTTACAGGCCACACTGGGTTTACAACCCAATGTGCTGGGTTGACCCACCACATCTGTCCCCTCCTTGTCTTTTTCATCCTCATCTGCTCCTTTCTCCTCCTCTGTCATTATCTTCCTCTTCTAATTGCTTTTTCTTCTTCCTCCTATGGGTGATCCTCCTCCTCCTCCTCTTCCTCTTCTTCTTCTTCTTCTTCTTCTCAGAAATAAAAAAAACCAATATGTATATATGTATATATATATATTTATATACTTTTTTTTTTCTGGGCAGCATAGCGAGACCTCGTCTCTACAAAATTTTTTTTTTTTAATTAGCCGGGCTTGGTGGAGCATGCCTGTAGTCCCAGCTACTTGGCGGCTAAGGTGAAAGGATCGCCAGAGCCCAGGAAGTCGAGGCTGCGGTGAGCTGTAATCGTGCCATTGTCCTCTAGCTTGGGCAACAGAGTGAGACCCCAGCTCAAAAAGAAAATAAATTCTTTGAGCTGATTGGGCTGTCTCCAGAGGACGACTGGCCCGAGACGTGTCTCTACCGCATGGAGCCTCCCCTGAGAGGGCCCCCCCCCCATGCAGTCGGTGCTGCCTGAGCTGGAGGAGTCCAGGCACAGCTGCTGCCAGGGAGACTGGCTTTTTTTTTTTTCCACATCTTCTGCTGGTTTATTATAAAGGACACTGCAGAGGATACAGATGAAGAGATGTGTAGGGCGAGGTATGGAGCAAGGGTTGGCTTTTAACCCACACAAGTGACTCTGCCTTCCGAGCTCGGTGGCACCCGTGTCCACGTGAGGACAAAGGTCACCCATGTGGGGGTTGTTGCGAGAGGAAGAGAAGCTGCCTTTTCTGCTTCTGAACACTTGAGTGGAGACCGCCAATAGCAAAGGCTCTCTCTGCCCTCATCTCACAGGTTGTGGAGACTCCTCCAACTTTCTTTTTTTTTGAGTCAAGTTCTCACTCTGTCACCCAGACTGGAGTGCAGTGGCACACTCACAGCCACTGCAGCCTCGACCTCCTGGGCTCAGGCAATCCTTCCGCCTCAGCCTCCCAAGTAGCTAGAACTACAG